AAGTTTATGGAAATATCTGATAAGATGCTCCTTTCGTTTTCTATTATCAAGCCAAAACTCAAAATATTTGCTTTTAACAACTCCCAATGACAAACAAGAAATATGTGACCCAAGAGGTCAAGAWTTGCGTGACTAGCTAATTTTGAGGACAGCAAAGTTTGGGGATTTTATAGACGTTACCGGTTAATCCTGGTTCAGAGCTTGGTTTGCCTTTTCAAAAAMAGGAAAAACCCAGAGTTATAACGCGGCGAGCTTGCGCAGTTTTGAGAACCACCTTACTGAGAACCACTTTGCATAGTAGAGTCGATATTTAAACCTATAAAAAAACCTATAAACTAATAATAGAGACAAAAAGCTATAAGCTTTACGTTAATACTTCGAGTCGAGTTCGCGAATTTACAGGAAGAAAGCTACACAATCTCGTTTTAGAAGAATAGTGAAGAAATGATAAATTTGGAAATTTGGGGAAAAAATGGAACCCACGACTTTGTACCCACGACCCACGACCCACGACCATTAGGCAAACTCAAACTACAGTGGACGAAATAAATGATCTTAACATTTTCACAGAAAACATCTATCTCATCAAACCATTGCCATAATAATTCCTTTAAGATGTACATCAAAGCAAAGCGAAATAGGCTATGTAGTAGCTAGATTTGCATGGCAATTATCCACGATTAAAAGACGGTTTCATTTAGGTTCACACGGCAAAAAATGCTCCTTGCTTGAATATTATTACGATGGCGATACATGGTTGTGTCAGTCAGTGAAGGAAGCTTTCCGTTAATCTTCTCACTCAAGATTGTATAATGTATTTTATGATTGCAGCTATCCAGCTGAGCCTGCGGGGATATAAACGTCTGCAATGTCAACATTTTGACATATTTCAGTCCTTCAGGTCAGCCGAAAAACGTTACTATAGAAACAAAAATGTTTTCTGGAAATAATTTTGACATAAAGCAATAAGCTTAACAGCACTGAGCAGGATACTCAGTGTCAGTACAGGTACCATAAAATCAATAGTTTAGAAGCCAACAATTAACTCATTATTTTTATACCGCTAAAGATCCAAATATTTGCTATAACAAATGATCGTAAAAAGCGTTTCTTTCATTTCCTTCATAGAAGTTGCCCTGATAGGCCGATAACAAAAAAGCCTTGAAGACTGATGCAGTCGACGGCGCTAGAGAACCGTTCTAATTCGACGTATAGTCTTCAAATATAACTAATAGTTAGTAAGTTATGCATGATCGAAACATAGAAGAAGTTTATCTGATAATTAAACAGATACAGCCTCATCTTTGTCCTTGAAGGTCTTAACGAGAAAATGAGCCGCACTAGCTTATTAGCGCTGAATTTTAAATTAAACTCTTGAAGAAAAAAATTATATCAGGTTACGGAAATCGAAAGGGGGAAGTAGAAAAGTTCTAGGCAAACAAAAGAGAAACATTGCTATATGATTACATGAAAATAAAAATAAAATAGCAGAAATGTTTTCCTGTGCTTATGGTATAACCTCGATAATGCACTGGGCGGCCCGTGGTACGCCTAGAGGAGGATTTACGCACACAAGAGTTCTAGTGATTCCTCTTCAGACAATCACGTTTTTATCTTTTTAAGTCGAAAAGCTTTCATGATAAATCAACTATTTGTAACTATCTGGGTTCATCATGTTGTGTATATACAGTAAAAACAAAAAGAAAAGAAATAAAACACAATACTGTGAGATATGAAAGCGCTCCAAGTAGTTACTGTGACGGGTAGCGGGGATGCAGGTAGAGTTGGTAATTTCGCGATCGCTTCAGCTTGTTTCAGAAATTTGAAAAGTTCAAACGGATGCTTATTTACAAGCTCCTTGAATAACTTGCATATTTAAAATTCAATTTTCACTAATCAAATTTTGTCGAGAGATTGCATGGTTTGCCGTTAGGGAAACTTTAATCAAATATGATCATGATGGATGGGATTTGAAGTTGGAAGTTATTACACATTTTAGCGCTAAATCTTGTCAGAGTGAGCCACCGCATTATCAGCAAGTCCGACTATAAATACCGTGTTCTTTACTTTCGCATACTCATAAGCCCCATAATACTTTGTGGCTTTCAAATAAACCACACATAAATTGTGCTGAAGTGTTCMAAATACCTCGTTTATATCCATAAAATGAAACAGAAACAGAAAGAGGTATTACAAAACAAGGCAATACATTTTCTCTAACACCATATCACATATTGCTGGACAATATGCATGATATGTGGTTATCACTTTAAGTAGAACGTTTGCATAATGGCGTTACTTGACCTCTACTACCAGACTCCCTTGCACACTTTCTTTTGTTCAGTTAATTAGTACCAATTGTCTTACTATTCTCATGAGGGAATACAAATTCAAATAAGAAGGAAAATTGTGCATTCCTTTGATTGATTTGGTTCGCTCGAACCAATGTAATGACCCACCTGGATGATTGCAATAAAAATCTCTTTAATAAATACAAATGTCTTTTTTTCATTCACTTCCCACCTCTACGTCTACAGATATGCGTAAATCTAATAACTATAGTTTTCTTAATTTTTGAATCGAAAAATAGGAGAATCGCGATATATCTAATTAATGATAATTTTGTTACTAAGCTCGATCAATAGTTATCTAGAGTAACATTTACCTTTTTTCATATGAGTAAATATATTATATTTTAAGATAGCGAAAAGGGTCCATACGCTTGATAAAGATACTATATGATGGAGAAACGAGAAGAGAATGCTTCCGTAAAAATATTGGCACCATGCAGATGAAGATTGCCATTTACCACATTTACAAAATTTTTTATATTTCAAATCTACAGTAAAATCTTTTTCTCTTTTTGTACAATTGTATATATGGAATTACATTTGCAAAAATTGTTGCGCTTTCGACCTCCTCAGTATTTTTCTGTGGGGTGCACGAGTTGCGCAAACTGATTTTATATCATTTTAATCAATACTGAATATGTTTCAGTAAAATCTACTTAAATTTTAGACTACTGTTTGGTTTTAAGGCWAACAATATGACGGGATCATGTCATCATGTTTACTTTTTGCCCCTCTATTTTTTTCGCGGAACCGACCGAGTGTGGTAACTTCACCGTCTGGTAAACCGAAGGGTGTACGGAACTTAAATTATAGCTTGCATTCGAACGCTATTATCTTAACTAAGATAAGGTGAATACATTGAAAAGAAATACAAAGTCCCCTCACTCACTAATGAATAAATCTTGGTCAATGTTTTTAAAATAAAGAATAACACTAAATCGGCGATTAAATTGTTCAAATGACGTCATAAAGAGCAAGAGCTATTCTATTTTAACGCGCGGTCTACCTTTGTGCTTGGTTGCCATAGTAACAACAGAGAACCTTGGAATCGAATAAAAGCAGCTATGTCTGTCTAGGGTTGTGTCGAATCGCTCTTCTTTCGAAGCGCAAACATGGAAGAATCATCTCGAAAACAGCCATGACTGTGGCTAATAACAACAAAAAAGAAATGACTGGCTACACCGTCAATGAAAATGGTGAAGAACCGAATAAAAGTAGCTCACAGCAACGACTTAGTTCGTACGAAAGGCTGACTCGGGATCTTGCTTCCAACGAGAAATATCGACAAGAGGTTGCCCTTGGAAAACGGATTGGGTTCTACAGAATCAGAGGCGAACTTGGCACTGGAAATTTTTGTCAAGTGAAGATGGGAATACATGCTTTAACGCGAGGTACATGGACAATACATATGTTATAAATAGAATGTTTCATATTAGAACTTGAAGATGTTGCTAGCCGCTAACGCGCATTCCAAAACTTCTCTTGCAGAAAAGGTTGCCGTAAAAATTCTGGATAAAACAAAACTAGATCAAAAGACTCAAAGATTACTCTCACGAGAAATATCCGTCATGGAAAAGCTTCATCACCCGAATATCATTCGCATCTATGAAGTCATAGAAACTCTCCCAAAACTTCACATCGTAATGGAGTATGCTGGTGGCGGCGAGCTCTTCGCCAAGATTTCCAATGAAGGGAAATTGCCGGAAAAGGTTGCGAAGAAAATCTTTTGTCAGATTCAATCGGCAGTAGAACATATGGTAAGCTGAAAATATAAAAAGATAAATCAGTAGTTTACTTTGTAGTCATGCTCGATGTGATTTACTATAAACTTCCAGTGCATACTTAACTGTGTGTTCATCTATCTCCCTTCAGGCCTACAGACAAATTAAAAATAATTGTTTGGCGGTAGTACGTTGTTGAGTGTCCTAATTGCCCAAGTTTTGAAACCCTTCTCAATATCTTAAAACTGCACGTATTATTTACATACTAAGAGTTTGTTTGAAATATAATTTCTCAAAAAGATCGAGCACTTTTCCTGCTGATGAGTGCTTGGAGCGCTGCGTAAACATACTAGGTGTTGAGAGGGCTCAGCTTAGACCAGATAGTTGTTTTAAAACCGCATCCAAGAAATCCCCTTAAACTCATCCACTAACAAAATTTTATCTTTTCTTTACTCCTCCAGCATAATAACAACATAATCCATCGGGATCTTAAGGCGGAAAATGTCTTTATTGCTGGCCCTAATCTTGTTAAAGTTGGAGATTTCGGATTTAGTACGACCTCAGCGAAAGACAACCCTTTGAATACGTTTTGTGGTTCCCCGCCTTACGCTGCTCCAGAACTCTTTAAAGACGAGAACTATGTTGGTATATACGTAGATATTTGGGCTTTGGGGATTATGCTGTATTTCATGGTTACTGGAGTTATGCCTTTCCGGGCCGAAACTGTAGGAAAGCTCAAAAAATGTATATTAGACGGGACTTATTATCTTCCTGATTTTCTCTCTGAACCTTGTCGCGAACTTATACTCAATTTATTACGTCCTGTTCCAACGGATCGTTATTCTATGGAAGAAACTCGCCGGTGCAAATGGTTGGAAAGTGAAATCTTTCCAGAAGCTGATAGTAAATACACTCTCGTACCTCCAACTGACCTACAGTCATCTAATGAAGACGAAATCGAGGCACTGCGAATCTTACAAGAACTAGGGATTTCATCTGATATCATTGGTAAAAGTCAGGACAGACGAGAAAGTATTACGGGAACCTACAGAATTGTTCTTCATCGTGTTCAAAAACGAAGATCAGAACTAATGCGAAAGTCTTCGACTATGACTTCATTAAGCCATTACAATAATCGTCCACCAGATCTGAGAAATAGACTTGCAGAAGAGCAGGAAAAGCCTCAAACCAAGTCCAAATTTTGTTCGATTTTGTAGAGCGTTCTTTTTTACCGCGTATTAATTGCAACATTGGGTATATATGAATGGTTTGTACATGTTTTAGCATGCGGTTCGTAATCTCTTCAATACTTTAAAGACTTTGCAGAGCACAAATCTATACGTACTTCAGGTTTTGATAAATTCTGTCAAAATTTATTTATTGTCTGACCCGGAGTATTTGCTTAATCCTTTCCCCCCTGTCTAAATCATCACACATAGGAAGATATTGTTGGAAATCTGTATTTATGAAGTGAATGAAACATGTGTGAGAAATCACAAAAATATGTAAGATATACGATTTTATAGGGTATTTTTTAGACTTCGGATTTTATTGTACATATACTTCAACATGTTACATGTGGTAAGAATTTGCACTTCAATAGAAAGTCTGTTTTTCTCTGGAATAAATATGACAATCCATTATTTTACCCATCACAGCTACAAATAAATATGAGAACGTTTTTTCTTTTCAATTTCTAGCTTCTCTTTTGGACAAAAGTGTTCTGGGGATGTTTACTTTGACACTAATCATGTAAAACCACATTGAGTGTGCTACCATAGCAACCTGAAATAATAGTTACAACAAAGACTTAAAACGATGAATTTTTTATCCATATTGACAAATTTTAAAAATTCATGAATTATATCAAGGATTTTAGAATATTTCTCAGAAGGCAATAATTCAAATCACAATTTATTTTTATTTGGTAGAAGACATCGTGAGGTTTTCTGTTAGCCAGGTTCCATTATTTTAGTGGCAATGAATGAAAGATAAATCAGCAGAGTTTCCTGTTCTTGAAAATTACTTAGAGCTATTAGTGATCAGATAAGGACTGTCATTATTTTTTTAAGAAGACAGTACGAACATTGATGGGACATAAAATTGTGATGAAACATTTTCTTTCACTGACTTAATCCCTAAGTCCAAAGGTTATGATTAGTCTCTTGGTGAAACAGTTGATAAAATTTGATAAATGTTCATGCGTGTTTGCATGCAATAAAAGCTTATCATATTGTATTATCCTTCGGGTTTTTAAACTCTTAGCTAACCTTGAAATGAATATCCCTGATACTTTTAGCTTGAATAATTATTAAAGATACATGTACATGAAATGAAGGGGATGTAAATTTATGTATTTTTATATGATACCAAAAAGTTACATAACAATATTGATACTGAATATGTTGTTTTTAAAATAATTCGTTTTTATAACCAAACTCAGTTTGTAAATATTACTCAGTGTCATTCACCATGATGGTTTCTAAAATGTTTATAACTTTTGGACTTCGTTCATGTACACCTTATGGTACATAATGATATGCTCATAGGGTTACATAATTATGAACATAGCTTTCATTTTACTACTTATTGGTCTTAAGATAGTAAAAGGGAATATCCTCAACCAAGACTGCATGTTATTGTTATATATTATATAGATATCGATGAAATACCAGGTTTTCTCTAGTGTCGAAAACTTGATATCTTTCACCAGTGGAAGATACCATATCTTTCACATGTGAAGATATCGCTGTTGACATAGTAACGTATTTTGATAAAGAATTTTTGAGCTTTTGTTTTATCTAAGTTTCATCGGTATCTATATAATAAACAGAACATTACATGGCCGCTTGGAGATACAAATTTTATCTTCTCGTGTTCAATTTAGACATCTCACTCGTGAGATATCAATTGAACACGATAACAAGATAAAATTCATATCTTTTGCACGCCCATGTAATATCCTCTATTTAATCCATAATATATTGAAGAGTGATCATATGTTATACATTTTTGTACATGCAGTATACTGAGGGACACTCATATTTAAGGGTTTTTTCATGCACAAAAAACTTGGTCCAGTCATACGAAGGGTGAATAGCACTATTTGACAGATAAATCTTATCCAGTGGATAAATTTATTGGATATCAGCATTGACTTATCCACTGGATAAAGATTTATCCATTGGATAGCACTATTCACTCTTCGTACAACCACGCCCAGATGGATTAATTAGTCAACAGCTAGTATTCTTTCAAAATGAAAATAATGAAAGCCAAATGTCCAGCTGATGATAGCACTTAATGCCATTAAAAAATATTTTTTACTATATTTGACTATTTTTTCTTTTGTTACCCCCAAAGCTCACTGGGTATTTAGAAGAAGAATAAATAGAGGATCAGTATAAGGCAGGGTTGGTTTCATTCCATGTCAGAGTCGAATTATGATAATGGCTGGTCATTGGACAATGTCCAACCAGAATTGGAAGCTGTCTGGTGAAATCTTGCCTTACTGGTCATTTTGACTAGTAACATTAATTCTGAGTCAGAAATAAGGTAGTGCAGTAGAACCTATCCTTACCAACATCTCAATAATTATGGACACCTTTATATCATGGACGCCTCTATATTGTGGACATCACTATAATACAAACACCTCTATATTATGGATGCCTCTATACCAGGATACCTCTATATTATAATGAGCACTTTTTTCAATACTTAAGAAGTAGTAAATAGTTACAATACAATTTACAAACACATACACACAAAATTAACACCTTTATATGACAAACACCTCTATATTATGGACACCTATATTACAAACACCTATATCGATTATGGACACATCTAAATTACGAACAACTCTATATTATGAACACCTCTATGTTATGGACACCCATTAGCCCACCCCATCCAATTAGCATACCCCCTTCCATTAGCCCACTCCCACCCATTAGCACATCCCCTCCCATAAGCCCACCCCCTCCAACTAGCCTACACTGCCTTCCCATTAGCCCACCCCCTTGAATTAGCCTACGCTCTTCCATTAGCCAACCCCCCCATTAGCGTATCCCCTCCCATTAGCCCACCCCCTTCAACTAGCCTACACCCTAGCCTTTCCATTAGCATATCCCCTCCCATAAATAGCATACGTCATCCTATTAGCCTAACCCCTCCCATAAATAGTGTACCTCATTCTATTAGCCTATCCACTCCCATTAATAGTGCACCCAATCCCATTAGCCTACCCCCTCCCATAAATAGCATACCCCCTCCCATTAATAGCATACCCCCTCCCATTAGCATACCCCCTCCCTCAGAAAAATCAAGAGTTAAATAAATTCACATGCTAATACAATACTCCCAAAGGAAGCAGCACTAGCAACCTCACTTGCAGCATTTAAGAATGCAGTTGCAGATATTTATTAACTTGTTGGACAATTACTATTTTTTATTATTTATTCTATTTATTAATATGTTAATTATTTAATCATTTTAATAATTATTTAGCGTGGTCTAAAATGCTCAGTATTGAGCGAATGACCTAATTGGTAAATGTAAATACAATACAATAAATAATAAATAAGTTAATTTTTTGTAATAAATTAATCAAAATTCTCTTTTCTTTTGTAATAACAAAATTCAAAATTGAAAATAAATCGACTACAAATAGTTGAAGTCCATAAAAATAAAAAATAAATCCGTTCTAGGAGTGCGGGTTTCCTGTGGTTTCTTGTTGCGTCTAGTCTCAGTCTTTCTCCGCCATGTGTTAGGTTTTAGTACCCGGATGTTGTGGAAAAAACAAGGTAAAGTGTATTGTAAAAGAAGATTGTTGTCTTAAAATGTATTCAATTCTACCCTAAAATAGCCAAAGTAGTCAGAAACATCCTTCAACTCAGTATCTCCTATCTCTAGAGGTCTCTGCTGAGCTTTACTTTTGTTGAATTAAGGCCTGTATTCTTATCTTACGTGAATTTATCAAAGTCATAAGCTGAAAATGCTATGGAAAATGGCAACACATCCAGCGCTGGTCCATTGATAAATCCAGTCATATTCAATAAACTCGCCCTTTCCAAGCAGCAGTTTCATAAACGAAGAAAGGTTCTCATAAGTAATCTTCCAGATGTGCTAGACGTAGAGGTGAGTAAGTTAATGTTTTTCAAACCACATGTAAAATTTTACAAAACATTAGCTTTATAATCTTATGTCAGAATCGAAATTATAGAGTACCGAAGTTCACCCCTTTTAAAAATAAAAACGCGCGAACAACGTAAGCATGGAAAGCTGTCAAAAATAAGTCAAATTTTACTAGAAAAATAAATTGGTCGTCCCCATTTTTCACAGAAGACTAGGATATAATTTGTTAGCATTCAAAATGTGTGTTAAACATTAGTGTATGTAATAGGACTCCATGCTGTCCAATTAAGAAATAATTGGACGAGGAAAATTCCGAGGACTGACAAACTTGGATGAGGCCATAGGCCGAGTCCTATTTGACAGTCAGAGGAATTTTTCGAGTCTAATTATTTCTTGATTGGGGAGCATGAAATCCTATTACCTATTAATTATATAGCTGCCTAATTAATCCCATATCAATAAGACCTGTCCGATTGAGAAAATAACTGGACAGTTACCTATATGGGATTAATGAGAAGCTGTATGATTAGCAATATAAAATGTTATTGCGCTATAAGTGTGGACTTGAAGCCTTCGTGTTACGTGAAATTTTATTCCCATTATACACAAAATATGTAGTTTTGATTTTATCCCATTGTCAGATTTAAAAACATTTTTTGTAATACACCCATTTTTAGTAATTTCACCAGTATTTAGCTTTGATGCTCTAATGTAGGGTTGATGTCATTGCCAGAGAGTGTGTATAGAAGAAAGAGTTTGGTTTTTAGCTTAATAATGGATTCATTTTCTCACTCCAATATGATGGGTATGGGGAAATTAAAAGGGTTGCAAATTGGTGCAAAAATGTACCTCGAAGGGGGTCCTGTGTCTTAATTATTATGCAGCACCAGCTTGCAGGCAAAATCTCAATGATAAAAAAACACTTAGATTCATGAAAATGAATAGAGCTCACACATGATCCAATTGTGCATG